GTATACATAATAATTTTTTTCTAATTAACGTGCAACCATTTCCATTTATTTTATTTTCGTTACGATTCAGTGCATGATACCTCTCACTGTTCTTAAATTAATAAGTTATTAGATGCACTTTTTGGTTTACTCGTTCAAATAATTTTTGTTGGTTTGATCGGTCTTATATGGTCATATAAAAGATTATGATTTTCAGTTTTGGTGGCATATAATAAACAGTACCGAGATTCAAGAATAGATAAAAAGGTTTTCATAGTGCTTTATACTTAAAACAAATGAATCAAGTTTATATAACAATAATAGTAAATACATTATAATAAATAATAATAAATATTTTATTAAACAGAACTTCACTATTTAAAAAATATAATATTTTGATTTCTTAAAATAATTGATAAAGGAAATAAAAAAATTAAGTTAAAAATTGAATTAGCTGATAAATAAGATGTTATAAAAAATTAAAAAATACTTTAAATCTTTCAAATAACAAAGTATAAAATTATTTAAAAATTAAATATAAGATATAGAATTAATATAAAAAAATTTTTTGTAATTGTAATAATGAACTGCAGTAGTAATCTCAATTTCTTTTTAAGAATAAAAAAGAAAAAAAATCAATAGGCAACAAATATGTAAATTATAATATACTTTTTGAAAATATACTTATTATTAAAAATTTTTCTTTTTTGTTTTATTTTAAAAAAAAAATAATAAATTTTTATTATAGAAAAAAAAAAATCAAAAAACAACTTACAATAAATTTTTTAAAAAAAGTTAATATCAACTTTTTAATAGTTTTTTAAACATTAAAAAATCCAAATTTCATTTTACAAATTAAGTAATTTAAATATTAAACAAAAAACAAAAAAATATTAAACTTTTTTACAAGAAATTCAAGTTAGATAATTTGACATAAATAATAATAAAATTAATTATATTATAATATAATAATTATTATAAAATTTATTTTATTTTAAAACAAAAAATTAAAAAACAAAATTTTTTTATTTAAATATATAATATTATTATTATTATCAAAAAATTTTTAAAAAAAATTTTAAAATCCTTATATTAAAATAATTCAAAGATTTTCAAAATAAATATAATATATAATTTTTGAATATTATTTTAAATACTTTTAAAAAATATTATTAATTAAACTTGAATTTGATTTTTTTTAAGAAATAAATAAATATTTTATTTTATTTTACTTTATTTATTATAATTTTAAACTTATAAATATAAAATTCTAATTCTAATAATATAATATAATTATTTATTTATTAAAAATAACTTAATACAAGATTTGCTATATAATTTATTCTTTGTATTTCTTGATACTACTTAAGAAATATAGTAAAAAGAATTTCAAAATTATATTAAAATCTTAATTATTTAAAATAATTAGATATTGATTATAAAAATCTATTGCAATTAATTTATATAAATTGAATTTCAAATTATAAATTAAGATTAATACTGTATATATACTTTTCAAATATTATTTAATATATAACAGATAGAATTAATTAAATGTTTTTTGATTTAAGATTAGTTTGTTATATAAAGATATTACAATTACTTTATATAAATTAATCTTCAAGTTATAAAAAAAATTTGATATATTTATAATTTAAATATAATAAAAGTATTCTATAAATAAATTTGAATTAAATTTTTTTATTGATATTAAAACTTAATTTTGTATAATAAATTTATATTGTTAAAAGATAATTGAAAAACCTTTGTTATTGTTATTAATTCTATTTGCAATAATAATTAAAATTTTCAATTATTATATATTACTCTATTAAATTCTTCAGTTATTAATATAATATCTGTAACTAGAATTTTTAACAATATCATTTTGATATTAAATTGATATTAAATTTATTATAAGTATAATATGGAGAGTTATAACTTATATATTAAATTTATTATAAGTTAATATTATTTCAATATTAATTTAGAATTTTACTTGTAACTATAATATTTGTTTTTGGCTATATTGGTATTGGTTACTATTTTATTTTAAATATTATAAAATACAAATCTTTAAGATTCAAGTAATAATAATTGTATAGTAATTTCTTAGATATATCTAATTTAACTATTAGCAAGTAAACAATACTGAATTTGGTAATAATAATCATGTCAAATTTTGAAAGAAATAAACTATTTTTTTTTTTAAAAAAATCGTAAAAAAGAAACAAATTTTTAAAGCTTATATCTTGAAAGAAGTTATTATTTTTTAATATGATTTTTAAGAAGAATAATAAGATAAAAAATAGTAGTTTAGGAAATAAGAAAGGTTTAAAGAAAAAAAAAATTCTAAAAGAAGAAAAAACTTAACTTTGACAGAAATAAAAAAAAAAAAAAGAAATAAACTGTATATTGTAAAAGGTTTATAGAAAAGACTGGAGAAAAAAAAATAGGATGAGATATTGTAATTTAATGCAGTAATGTTTTTTATTACGTAAATGTGTTGCCAAAAGAATTTTTTTTTTAATATCTTACCAAAATACAATTTAACTTTAATTTCTTGCTTTTACTTATCAATTTTGACGAAGTTTATATATAATTTTTTTAATAAAACTTATTCTAGTAATGTAAAGAAAATGACGGGATCATATAAGGCATGGTGTGCATTTATAGGGGTGCATATTGGAGGGTGGAGGGTACACTCATGAAATGCGTGTATTTATAGAGGGTTAACTGTTATTCTGCGACTTGTTGATTAATTTTCAATTCAAATGATTCTCAGGTTGATATATATATTCATCGTAATTTTCATAAGTGATGTGATTTCCTTTGGATACGTTGGTATTTAATTTTTTCTTCTTTCGATGATTTTCTTTTCTTTGCGCTGATGGTTTTTTTTTTCGTTGACATTACGTAATACATGAAAAAGGACATGAAATTACCGCTGCAATAGCTCAAAGATTTCTTACGCCAGAAGCACGTAAACACGTTGTAGGATTATTACCAAACGAAGCAAAAGGAAATTTAACATAGTTAGTATTTGCATTATTTTTGAATTAAATGATTTTTAAATAAATCCTCTGCTGATGCTACCTACATCTTTTATGAATTTTAACAAAGCATTGCATCGTGGGCTGACCGAATCAAACATCTTCCCGCCTACAAGTTCACCTCACCATTTCATTATGTCTCTCCGTCTGATGACTTTCCACCAGAGCATTGTTCATTCAACTATAAACCTCGTGGAAAAAATATTATCAATGCGATAAACAATTACACTCATCGCCTTGATCCAAAAAGTGATCTTGCTTATTGGCCACGTGCTGAAGCACTAAGGTTTTTGGTACATTTTATTGGCGATCTACATCAACCTCTGCACCGTAAATAGACTTTTTGGTTTTTTTGTCTTTGAACTTCGATAAGCCAATATAATTAACCAATCATAATATATAGTCACTAAAAGAGACCGTGGTGGGCTTGGCTCGTCAGGTAAGGTATCATTGTTTTTAGCAAAACATGACCACCAAATGAATTTCTTCTATTATATTATAAACAGCAAAGTTCGAAGGTCACAAAGCTACTTTGCATTCTGTGTGGGATTCTATGATTATTTATGTATGCATTATGACAACTTATCATACTTTGTTTAATTAATCACGCACATTTTATATTGACGTATCTTTATTCAACAAAAAGAAACAAATTCGTGAACTTGATGCGAATACAACAAGCGAGTCTAAAGAGTACAATCACGAGGTAGATTCCACTGAAGAAGGCAGTGATTATTTTGATTACAAGGTTCCTCGAGACAAAGGTATATTTTACGATCCGTATGTCAATCACATAATCAAATTGCTAAAGACAACTTGGAAGAAAGAGGTTCTTGATTGGATTGTTTGCAACGACAGTGAGAAGTTAGAACTTATAGAAAACGCAATTGGCATTTCAAGTTCTACATCATTAAAAAAACAGTCTGGTCAACAATTACACTTTTCTATCGACCAATTGTTACCAGATTCAGATAGTTCCCATTTCTCATCACAAAATTTAAATTCTCCATTCGTATTCCCAAAACTTCAATCTCACCCTGCGGTTTGTCCAGACTATTGGGCAATTTCTTTGAATGCACTAAATTGTAAAGTCGTTTATGATGGTTATGAGCCCGAGAAGGATTTGAGTACTGGTGAATATTATGAAAGAATTGTCAGAGGTAAAGTCATGGAAAAACTATTGGCTATTGCTGGAATTAGGATTGCTACTGTTTTAAATACACTTTTTGAATAAGTGATTTGTCGTAACATAAGAGTTATGATTGTACTCTGAAGGGTTTTATATACTGCATATGATACTTATTATATTTTTCATTACAATGGTGATGTTAGCATTCCTTTAAGCACAAGAAAAGTTCTTTTATCTTTCTTTTTATCTATGCGATGTATATGAAATCTATTCATAAAATAATGCGATTCCCGGATTATCGGAATGTCGATAACTGGTTCGAAATAATCTCCACCATATATATGTACAAATCAAGATATTCATTAAATTATTTTATAAATTTAAATTTAACAAAAATAATATATATACGTATATACAGTATATATCTTGTCTAAAAAAGTCTTTGGACAATATTTATTTATTTATGTATTTAACAAAAAATTATTTTTTTGATACAGCAATTAATTTTAATTAAGTAATGAATTTTTTTTAATAATTGATCACATGCAAACCATATAAAAATTAACCAGATCAAAAAATTCTGTTATCAAAATGATTTCATTCATTAGAAATATACGAAATACACGCTCTCAAAAAGTACTTTCGAACACGGTTCGACAAACGTGCTCTTTTGCTTGCTTTCAAGTTCTCAAGAAAAATTATATAAGGGCATGGATCTTTCTGATTTTGGTTGCAAAAAGATCTGTAGTCACGTTTTCATTGACATATTGGGCCTTTCTTGATTTAGGAACACGAGAATTTTACTTCAGTACTTTTGCAAAGACACATCTACACTTCTTCTGAGAATAGGGACAGTGGCGTTGAGAATGAAAACGCGTCGCCTTCACCCTCTGTAAACGATAATCACCCCGCAGGCTATGCGAATGACTTTTCGTTGTCCACGAACAAAGTGGAGGATAAAAAAGAGCAAGGGTCAGCATTAGATCTCATGACGAGCGCTCCAAACGGATCTGACTGGACAAAGTCCACATTTGGATTATCCTCTCAGGCATTTTCCAAGGAAATCAGTGATATTTTGCTCGCTCCAATAGATGTGGAAGATATTGAATGCAAACCCGGTAAATCATGTTCAACAAGATGTAATAAGTAGAAAAGATCATAACCTCCTTACACTTATCATTAGATGGGCTGCTATATCTTCCGGAAATAAAGTATCGTCGTATCTTGAATAAAGCATTTGGACCCGGAGGTATTTACATGCTCCAAATGTTTGATCATTACAGTATCTCTTTCGCTACTTATAAACGTGACGTGATTAGGGTGGGGTCTTGCACCACGTGGAAATGCTGCAATTAATAAGAAAAATATTTCGAGGGAATATTGCCTTTTTATTGGTGGAAGGTAAGCAAGTACCTGGTTTAACATTAGCAAAAGGATGATTATGTACTGGACACCTATAAACTGGTTTCTCTCGGATCGAATATAATCAAGGCTTATTTCAGTAGCTCGTGGAGAACAAGATTACTATGATCTCACTGGTCTGCCAACTGCAGCAGAGGGTGCTAAAAGTAATGCATTAATGAGATGCTGCAAAGATTTGGGTATCGCTTCTGAATTGTGGTAAGCTATAAAAATTGAGGGTATTTGTGATAAGAATCTTGGGTTTTTAGTAAGATTTTATGTTTAAATCGTAAAAGGGATCCAGTTTTCATTCGTGAATTCAAACGAAAATATTGTGAAGAAATCTTTGTTGAACATGTAACCCAAAAGAAGAAGAAGAAGATTTGGAAAAAGAAAGGTCTTGATATCGAATATCCGTATAGGATTCTAACTGGCGGCTATAACAGCCAGTAAACTTAATTGTATATCAGGGGGTTCGTGGAGGTTAAAAAAAAAAAAAGCATATTTGCATATTCACAGGAATTTTTTATTTCTTCGAATAAATTCTCAAGGTAAAAGTGTCACTTTTCAAGAATTGTGATCAAATATCAATACGCGTCCCTAATTGTCAACCATCTTTCTTTGCGCCATTTGCCGACAGCACATTGGATGACATCAGGTTGTTGATATAAGTTTGTAAGATTTGGTTTTCTGATTGCATCCGGTCGTGATCGTTTTTTACCGTTTCGACCTTTTGAATCAGAGCTTCATTCAAAAAACACTTTAGTAAAGTCGTAAGGAATGCATAAATTTAAATTAAAAAAAAATAATAATTTCTACCTCTTAAGCCTTCTTGAAGTTCTACAACCTCTCTATAATTTGCCGACATAATTTTTTTTTTCGCATACAAAAGGGTCAATTAGTTATCCTACAAACGAAAATTTTCAACTGGTATCATCATTAAAAAACAATACTTTATTAGACTGATTCTGGTTTCAGGGTTCAATTCTCGATCATTCACGTCATTTGCATTGTTAGAAGAAAAAGCATTTACATCGATAATTTGTTCCCTTAGAGAAGTTTGTATAGAAGAAGAACTCTCGTTATTTGAAGTCATTTTTTTTAAACGCAAGGACATTTTTTACACATGCATTATATTGATATATTTTTAAACACGTGATCGGAAAACGTGTGACACATCACTTATTAGGAAGTTTACTGTTTCTTTTTCGTTTTTTTGGTGCGGATCGGAATGTTGTATGGATTGACTCCGTGTCTGTAATGTTCGGTCCAAGCTAGAATCCATCTGATTGTGGTTTTGAAGGAGAGCAATTCGTTAGGAACGAGTGACATGTGAAATATATATCTATATATCTATATATATACAGTATATACGTGTTCAAATTAACATTATTACAGACTTTCTCTGCTTCGTTGGTATACCCATTTCCGTTTTCATTTCGAGACTTGACGCCGTGAATAGATGATTCCAATCCTATAAAAATATGCTGATTCAGATCTGCCTTCACCCATTGACCTAAATACGAGTGTTATATTATATATTTACTTTAAATTTATCAGAAACCTCTCCGCATCCTCGACCAATCTTTTCCAGGAATTCTTCAGGAGAGTTTATTGAACCTTTGAAGATCAAAAAAATTATTATTATCATTATTACTATTGTCGTTGTTTTATTATTTTATTATTACTGTTGTCATTTTATTATCATTATTGTTTTTTTATATTTTTATATATGTTTTTTTCTTTTCATGCAAAGAATTCGACTGGAACACACGACCAGTGTGTTATATTACCTCGAGGAGGTGGTATGGTTTTTTGTTTGTCTTTATAGGTTCTTATCAATATTCTATTCCCGAAAACTGACCTTGGCCATGTCAGTAATAGACGAGGCCTAGTTAGAGGGTTCATTGCGCATATGACAGCGAGTCAGAATTTTTTTTTAGCAAGCTTTGTACGTGACCGCTCGGATGTGCACGTGACTTCAGTATCACATAAGCACATTTCGTTTTACATTTACACACACTTATTTATTCTTGTTTTATACACGTGGTATTGGAAGGAATCCCAGTTTTCTTTGAATAAACGGTAATTTGAAAACGATGTTTTGCGTTACACTGAAGCAGCTTGATGTAAGCCAATACAAACAGATCACCTGAATAAATAGAGATATCGGTTACGCACATTTATCACATTGAACAAACTACTAAGTTGATCAACCGACTAACCATCGGAGCCTTCATTGCAACCGGAACCATTATTATAGACAATCCGCGGCCGATGTTGGTTATGATCCTCTGTCTCCTACTTTGTTTGTTCCTCGAGGTCCATCTGTGCAACTAAGAATAAGTGAATTTTAATGTTTTCCTTTTAAATGCAACTCGGACAAAATCGAGGTACCTCAATATTGAACAGATTTGTCGCCCCGATAGCCAAAGGGAAAAATAAGGTAGAATCCACCGCAGTTAAATCGGAGAACCAAAGAATACCGCCATCGACAAAGTCATCAGCTGTGGTATGATCAGTTTCATCTTTACTAGGTTTGACCATTTCACGTAATGTAAAAGACATGCATATAAAAAGAGGAATCTGAAACCAGGGAAGCATAAAGTTTTTCAGTGGATGCCATTTAATTTCGCGGTGTATTTGTTTGATCTTTTCCTCAAACTTTGTGAATACGCGATGATGTACAAGTTAAGTTATCAGCACATGTGATTATATGGATGGATAGGTCATATGATATATGGGCAAGGATTTCTTTGTCAAAAACCTTTTTTTGTAATTCCGCTTGAAATTCTTCGTAAGGTCGACCTTGACTACGCATCCTTCTCGCGACCTGATGTTTCAATTTCTCGAAGCATTCGTTTATCCTTGGTTGAGCATTTAACAAACGAGCAACATTTTTCTGCTGCCAGATTGCTATCGGAAGAGTGAATACTGATCGAAGAAATATTGTTGAAACCATGATGGTGGCCCACCACGGCAACCCTGTATTATGGTTTACGTATTCGAGGAAATATTGATTGGCTGATATAAACATATTCAACTCTTTCACTGGTTCCGAAATCTCCATATCCGATAGTTCGTTTAGTACATTACGGTTACTATCGGACACATCTTTCGAGGTCTCCGACGAGTCATCATCACAATTCGTCAAGGAAGTTGAAGTAAAACGCCTTTTGGTGGTGGAAATTGAATTTCGAGAATTCGAAATAAAATTTTGACATGGAATCGTGTATCGCCTACTTAATATAAAATTTTCCTTATACAATTTATTTCCTGCGCGTGAACAAAGATTTCTGAAAAACATGTTTATTTTTTTTTGCGGAATGTAGAGAATGTAGAAATCGGACATGCATTTTTATTTATTTTTTTTTTTTTGAGATAATCGTAACACATCATGTGACTTTTTGATCGAACAACCTATTTCAACTGTGACAGCATTCAAAGATAATTACCAATATAATGTTGGGTCTCTATGTATGGGGAAGACATTGGGGACTTGCTTCCATAGACCCCTCTTGTTTAATCATTATTTCATACTTGCAACTTCTTGAGTATGACGAATGGGGCCTCATTGAATGTGATAATCCAAACCTTTCTCCGACCGGTCGGTTGATCACCAAAACAAAAAGAATCGTCGTACTCCTTTCCTAAATGTGCCTTCTTTATTATATTCTCTAGGCGAGCTTCCCGTACTGAAAGACGGCCTTGAATGGATCGCCGGTGTTCATAATATAATAAGACACCTAAAGAAAAAGGTATTCGTCTATATCTCACATCTACACTTCACACTCTTGAACTTAACGACGTTGTTGTAAGGACTTGGACGCCGACGAGAGTTTATCGGCCAAACAGAAATCCGAAAGTTTGGCGTAAGCATCAAAACCCATTATTGACGTCGGATTTTCTAGGGATTTTAATATCATCTAAATCATTTTCTTAGGTTTACCTCGTTTGTCGAAGAAAATGTTTATGACGCACTTGTGAGTACTGTCCTCGCGTTTACCAAAAACTTTTTCCCAACTCTTCACTAATGGATCTTTTGGATTTAGCTGTTCTCGTGGTACGTCAATTCCAAGAATTACACAGAAACAATTCGTCCACTTTACGTAAAACTGCTCGCCTTCCCGATCTGTTATGTTGTACCGACGCAATTGCGAGACGCGGCAAAATCCAGATTGGAGAAGTATGGCGTTGTAACCATGGGGGGTTCGGGATTTCTTGTGGATAAGGAGCAAAAGGTTGACAATCGAAGTAGTCGAAACATCTTAATTCGATGCGCGAATTAATTATAATCTTGTTTCAGATGCAAAAGGTTGTACGAGAATCCTACAATGTCTTACTGAGGAAAATAGGAGACAAAGAATACTTCTTTGATCGGTGAGTAACAAGAGTGGTGAAGGCCTAGGATTATCGATGATTTTCTGAAAAAGATAATTTATTTCAAAATAGACCGTCAACCATCGATGTTGTAGTGTATGGTCATTTAGCACTACATCTCTATGCCAATCTCCAAAATTCGGATTTGTCTGAAATTCTAAAAACCGAATACCCGCGACTGGAGCAATTTTGCGAACGTATGAAAAATCGACTGTCCTCGAAATCGATCAATTATCTCCCAGCTACAGATCTTCCATCAGTCTTCACAGGATTGATAAGTTCCCCACGGACGTGGTTCACCCGAACTCCAAGGATGAAAGAGAAATCAGAAAAATCAGAGGCTCAAATTAGCTTCGAAAGAAAGAGATATATATCAATCTTCGGGGCAATCACCTTTATTATAGTTTATGTATTTTGGAATAGGATTATTAGTATAGAATTGGATGGTGAAGTGAACGAGGATGGTAATAGAAACCAAGATATTGATGAAGAAGACTATGAAGAATCGGGAAACGGCACTAACGATGTCGGTGATAACGATGATGATTATGATGATGATGATGATGATGGTTAAAATGTGCAGTCTTCTTAAAATCCCTCTTAAATCATGTTAGCACGTTCATTGTTAATTTCATTGATTTATTTTGCAATTCTATAATTTATGCATTATTGGTGCAACATAATAAAATAAAATAGAATAGTATCTCTGAACTTCTGGAAGTACTCAAGTGCACTCTACAACAAATTCACTAATGGTGACCGTGACCGTGAGCTTCCGTACCAACAAAATTTAACTTAAAAACTTGACCACATTCTGGGCAACGATCGAGTTCATGCGATTTGTCCACAGTTAACCAGACAATTTCATGCGAATCAGTGGGGTATCCTGCGACAAAAAATAGATAAATGGATATACAACTCTTCATAAATTTCACAATCATCAATGCACCATACACCTACCAGAACAGGCTACGTAACGTATGGGATCGACACTTTTAACAAGGATAGGATCACTTTTGGTACCCAAGTGGGTGAGTTCTAAAGGTTTCATGTCAAAAAACTCTTTGCCTTCCAAGGCTGCGAGCAACTCATGACGTTCAAGACCAGTAGCATGCTCAATATCGGTAGGTACAGTGCCAGGTTTTGCACCAGTTCCAAAAAAGTCTTTACTCAATTCTGAACGTGGCATAATATGGAGAAGTTATTATTATGAAGGCATTGCGTTTCGTTTTGTTCGTTCGTTTTGTCGTTTCTCACCTACCTCCGCTACGAGGGCCCGAAACTGAAAAGGCTCGAAATGCCAATGGTGCGCGAGGAATACCTCTCGTCAATTTCGTTCCGAGCGTGCGACGAAGAGCTGAAGATAACATAATTGTGCAAAAAGAAAATGTAATGTGTGTGGAGGTGGTGGGATGACTTAAAGATTATCGCATTCATGTCGTACAACCCATTTTGTATTACCTAAAAATTTTTATTTACTTTGATATTATAATATGCATAATGTAACAAAATGAATTATATACTGTTATTATAAAAAATAAAATACATTATTTATCTATTCCTAACGCACTATAACGCATTACAATATTTATATGTTGAAGACTACACAGTGGATGAATTCTACGAATCAAAAATAGTGGATTCGTGAAAGGCAACGCGAAAAATATGATGGAAAATAAAGCCCTGCAAGTACATCCATCATCTCTGGCACTACGTGATATGTATTTTGAGTAATTACACAAGGAAATTTTCTTTCTTTTTTTTTTTTAGACTTGATCACGTGAATAGATATTTAGGCGCCAATGTTGTAGGTAGTGGTGGTGGGCTGCTTTTCGTTACGTTCAGAAAGCTCCAAACTGTAGGAACGAATGCAGACGTATAGGTAAGCCTGTATAAAGCAAAATGAGTCAGTTACGATTCTTTGTCACGTGTTTGTGTTTTTGGTGTTTGTTTTTTTTATGGATTACGAACCTGCCAGATGAATGCGAAAACGAATGGAACCAACCATCCAAAGATAGGAAATCCACCGGAATAAGTAACACTACAATCGGTCTTCGCGTTAGCGGGCAAATTAGCTTGTGCATCTTCACAGTTTTTCTTTGCCGCAGCAGCAGCTGATGCCACTGCAATTTCCACGGCAACGATGAAAACGATTTGGGCCAAGAAATAGAAAATTATTGAAAATAGGTAGAGGCGAACAAATGTGGCAACTCGATGGGGGATTTCGTGGTAAATTGCGTGAGCGCCGTACAACGCGACTGCGGCCACCAAAAAAAAGGGGACACCTAGAATTTTCCAGATGATGTTCGATGCTAAAAGGAAGAAAGAAAGGAATGTGTTAGAGGAAGCTCTTTCGTGAAAATGAAGGTAATATTGATGATACATACTTCCATATGATGCTAGCATAAGTGATAAACCGCTATATGCCATCCAGACAAACATCCATGCTGCAACAATGAAAGCGCCAATTCTAAGGGGCACAACGAAACTGTTTATTTAAAAAAAAAGAGTTATGGTGATTGTTGTTAGCAACTGAATTTTTCAATCTTGATTATTATCACAATTAAAAAAAATGCAAACCAGCAAAAGGGTACACGTGGAATTTGAACCATTTTGAATTAGTTGAAGCGAAAGGAAGGAGTGAATGAATGTGTCGAAGAGGAAAAAAGAATGTCTCTTTTTTTAAGCGTGGGAGAGAGAATGAATGAATGAATGAGGGATGGATGGATAAACCTTACACTCACAATTTTATGTTGAGAGTAGCAAAGAAAAAAGGAAAGGCGAGGCGAGGTATTTATCAGAAATCTTGAGGATTATTGACATCAGTGTTCAATTAATTTTTCTATGTGCACGTTCTCTACTTATTTCTTTAGGGTTACAATGCGCCTTTTCTGGCGTTCCTCTTCCGTCAGATCAAGCAACAGAGTAATAAATTTGTGTTCACGTCGCATATATTATATCTTGTTTCTGCACGCAATAATTTAAGTTTATTTACAAATTGGGATCTTTGCCGTCTACTGCGCGCGCGGAAGTTGCGATGGCGGTATCACTTAATTAATCTCAGTACACGAATGTACGATTAATATGTTGACAGGTGGAAATCAAAAAAGGAAGTTTTGAAACTTTTTTGTATGAAAATTATCTTCTGAGAATCTTTATTTGGAGCTAAAGAAAATCTGTGCGACATAACATCCTTTATTAGTATTCTTATTAACATAATCGTTAACTTTTTTAAAGGCCCATTAAATGTCAAATTACATAGTTGAAGTGGAAAGCTGCACGCTCATGTACTTTGCATACATAATAAAATAACAATATGCACGCATGTGTACATACTCACTTTTTCTGGAAAATAATATATTTCCATGACTTGTATTAGTATTCGATTGCTGTTTAGAAAACACTTGCAAGTGACTCGAATTTGACTATTGTGACAATGGGGAATCTTAAATTACTAGTGCACAGAAAGATGCATGTTGTGTGCAATATTAAATTTGTATTCAATTGGATTTTATTAATTTCACTTCTCCATGGAATCTAGTGCTCATAGCTTTACGCCCTGATTTCAGAAATTTTAATGTCTTACGAATTACACTCTCAATAATGCTTCTTAATAAGGTGAACGTCACATAAAAATCTAGTTTGTACCACCTAACAATTTGATTTCATTCGATTCCAGGTTCAAACACACCTTATGCAACTGCATGCGAGTCTACATTTCAATCATGAATTGTTATATTGTTTATAAATAAAAATTATTATTATTGTACTGAAACGTCATACATATATTAAGTATTATTATGTAACCAAATTTCCTAATTATCAAGTACCTTAAAAATATATATTGTACGTTACTGTATATCCAGTACTGTATAGTGTATCTTTTAAATTAACATTAATGATTTATAATATTAGTAGTGAAATGTATAAAAACTTTTATTTGAAATTAAATATTTATTAAATAATAAGAATATACAGTATATAACACTAATACTTTAACTAATAAAATTCTAAAACTCATATAATATATTATTATTTTATATTAATTTTTTGAAAGTTTTAAAAATATATAATTATTAGTTTATTTTTTAGAATTTCAAATCCAATGAGAATATAATGAAATGTATTTTTTTAATAAATTTCTTTTTTCCAATAAGATATTTTGAATTAGATAAAAAATTTATTTGTTATATTTTTTTTTATTTTTTAAAATAAATAATATTTTAATTAATTAAAAAATGAAAATTAAAAATAAGTTTTTGTTTTATTTTTAAAATATATTGTTAACATAAAATACAATAAGTTTGTTATTTGAGCTTATCTATATTATATAACAATAGAGTATACTTTTTGCTCAAAAGAAATATATAAACTTATTTAAATTGTTAGATAATAATATAAATCAATCAATAAATTTTGTGTTTCAAATAATTACAACTTGTATAATAATTTTATGATTATAATATATTGAAATTGAATATAATAAGACAAATATTTAACAATAAAATATAATAAAAACTATACTATATTTTTATAATAACTTATATAAAAAACTTTGACAAATTTGTTTTATTAATATTTGTTAACTTATATTAAATATAAATTTTATATATAAAAATCAAAAAATATTTAAAAAATATTCTTAAGTAATTTTAAACTATAGATTTTTAAAAATTTTTCTAAAAATTTTTATAATATTTAAATAATTATTATGTAATAGAATTATATTAAAAAAAAACCAATTTCAAAATATATATTTTTATATTTAATAGATCAATTATATTCATTATTTTATTATTATTATTATTATTCCATATCAATAAAATAATATAAAATATTTGTTTTTGGAAAAAACTATTTTACTATATTAATTTTTTATAAATAAATAAAAAAGTTTTTTTAAAAAAAAATCTTTTTTTACAATATTTTTATTATCTTTTTAAAATATAAAAAAGGCAAATAAAAAAATAATTCTTTATATAAAAATCATTTAATACAAATATATATTTTCTTTTTCTTTTTAAATAATCATATTTATTAAAAGATAATATTTTATTTTTTAAAGTTTGTTTTTTTATTATTAATAATTAATATTTAGTTTTTTATTATTTTATAGTATTAGTTAAATTTGATTTATTCAATATAATATTACTCATTAATTATTTATCATAAAAATATATAATTTAACCAATTAATCAAATTTATATCACTTAATTTTAATTATAAATTAGTATATATAATAATTAATATATATTTTTTAAAAATCTTATTTTGTCAAATATTAATATTTTGTTAATAAAATTAAAATTTATTTATTTTGTTAAAATATATATACTATATACAGTATGGTGCAAAAGTCTTTGGACTAATATTTTTTATTATAATTCAATAAATATTTATTTAATTTAAATA